AGGGCCGAGATAAATTTCGATACAGTCAGTCCTCATGTCCGAATAAAATTTCAGCCAGTTTGAAACAATTTTTGGCCTAAAATATGCAAAACTGTTTTATTTATTATGTTTCTGTATTTTTTTTCTTCATAGTATCTTATAGTTGAGTCTGATAATTCATATTTGCTGAATATTTTTGTTAATTATGGCAATAATCCCTCACCCACCCCTACAAAAAATACCTTTCAGAGTCCGGGCCGCAAAAAAATCATCAGGGCCGGAAATAAATCTAAGGATCCCAGTCCTTGTGGCTGGAAAAAAATTTTGACTTTCGCATTGACTGGGCTTTTATTTGAATAAACTTGATAGACACTCACTAGAATATGTTTCATGCCAAATATCTAAGCTTTACCTCTTTGGGTTTTTAAAAAAAAAGATATTTTAAGTTTTTTCTATTGGTTATCATGGCAACCAGAGTTCTGCATGGAATAAAATTGTTTGAACAATTTTTAAAGGTGACAACCAAAAAAAGATATTTTAAGTTTTTTCTATTGGTTACCATGGCAACCAGAGTTCTGCATGGAATAAAATTGTTTGAACAATTTTTAAAGGTGACAACCAAAGGAACATTCCTGTGAAGTTTGGATGAAATTGGCTCAGCGGTTTATGAGGAAAAGTCATTTAAAGAAAAAGTTTACGGAACGACGACGTACGGACTAATGCCGGACGAAAAGCGATCACAAAAGCTCACCCTGTCTCTTTGTGACACAGGTGAGCTAAAAAGTGGGTTCAACAGACTACTCCTTTTTAGCTCACCTTGCACAAAGTGTAGGTGAGCTTTTAGGATGGCCAACAAAATGCGTCCGTCGTCCGTCCACATTTTATTCAAACGACATCTTCTACAATACCACTTGGCCAATATTAATGAAACTTGGCAGGAATACTCTTTGTATGAAGCTCTGTCAAGATTGTTCAAAGAATGCCATTCCATGCTAAACTCTGGTTGCTATGGCAACTAAAAGAAAAAACTTAAAAGTACTTATACTTCAAAATGGAAAAGGATAGAGCTTAGATATTTCTCACAAGGCATTAGCTTCTTAGTTCCTACAAAGTACATTCAAATTTTGGTCTAAACTTGAAAATTGGTCTCTGTTTTGGGAGTTTAAGGGTCTTTTTATAGCAAGGTTCTATAGACTTTCTTTGTAGGGATAATTTGAGATAGTGTATCTTGTATTTTTTGTCTCAACAGACATTCAGTTATGAAGATTTTTTTTGTTAAAGCATAAGAAGGATGAAAAGTTTGTTGAACGTGAATGTTAATATAAAACAGAGTCAATCAGAATAGCACAAATTTGAGAGCTACAGTTGACTTCCCCATTCAATAATGGATTCTTCCATTAATTTTGTAACACCATCAGAAAAGAAGACTGTGTCATTTTCCGAAAATACAATGTAAAATATTTCGATTCTTGACAATGACTTGCACATTTTATTGTGTAAGATATTGCACAAAGAAATGAAAGTGAACAAAAAATTTTTTTTTTTTTCCACAAAAATTAGTTGATAAAGATAAAAGTTTTAAATTTACAGTACGGATATTACTTTTTTGTATCCTTTTTCCGGTTTGGGCGGGAAAAAATCATATCTACAACCGCTCCTACTGATGAACTATTATGCCATAATATTTCATTCTGAGATCAATCATACCATTCAAATCATTAAAATAATGCATACCAACTGGGACATATGGTTATCGTCTCTCCTAGATACCAACCAGTCCAATAAAAAAACTTTGTTCTGAGAATACATCAGCTTATTGGATTAATCTGACCGCTCAGAGTTGGAGATTATAAATTTTGCTAAACGGGAAGTACATGATAAAACGTCCGCCAATCAAGAAAAATTGAGAAAATTTTGTAAATAAACTCGTATTTCATAAACATTGAAGTGAAGATGAATACAAAAGAATTATCGGTGTGCTTTGTTTGAAACAGGTATTTTGTTAACTAATTGTGAAGTATTAAGGCATGACATTCAGTATTTATGTAAAATATCAACCCCGATGTCCCTGTGTTATGATTTATAAAAATTATACATGTACATGTTGACCTCAATAAAATGTAAGTGAAAATGGAACAATAATTATGGTAATTATCCATGGTGCTAGTAATACTTAATTATCTTTATCATATTGCTAACTAAGCAAAGAAAATTACGTAGATTTTAAAATAACTTAACCTCACAATAATAATCAATTTAAGCTTGAAAATCTTCTCAAAATGACTTCCCAAACAGTAATTTTGGTTCATGTAGAGGAATAAGAGAAGAAAAAACTGAATTGACTCATGAAAATTTTGGTCAAACAGTCTGCCACGTGAAATTCTGACCTTCCTGAGATCCCTGCTGTTTGTTGTTGTTGATGTTTTTTTTGTTTTTTTTTGGAAAGGGTGTTCTAATATGTTATTAATGATAAACCACAGATGTTTGAGCCGACATGATACCCCTGAGTAAACACTATCAAGTAATATTTTAATATTTAAGCACTAATGGGATATCTGTTTCAACTATAATACTGGTTTTCGAAAATTTTTTACATATTATTAAAATTATATAATTTCTAATTAGTTTAATTCATTATAATGGTCAATGGTATGAGTCTTTCGTAACAATTTTCTCAGCAACTACTTATTACAGCCTCTTGATTTTTGGTTAGCAGCATTGATATGATTTCAGGTACGCGGCTCATCCACTTTCAGTTTTCTGACCTAGTGAAATTTTCGGGAATAATTGTAAGTGGAAGGGAATTTCCGTAACAGTTTTCTTAGCAACTACATATCACAGCCTCTTGATATTTGGTATTGTGACTGCAAAGTTCAGGTCTATCGCTTATACACTTCCTGTTTACTGACTTAGTTAAATGTCCGATATTAATGGTCAATGGTAGGACTTTAGTTTTAGTAACATCACAGCTTCATGAGTCATGTTATTTGGTATACAGATGCAACCCGGCCATTTCTGTCTTTGACCCATTTTTATTGAAGCATTATCCAAATTTGTACTTTGTCTTGTTAATTATGATATCATTGTTAAAATTTTCATGATGTAAACATGCTACAGGGAGTGTTTTTAGCAACCTGTACTTTAAAGAAAAGAAAAAAAAAGAGGTATTTCTATACACTTGTTAGCATTCCTGTTGCTGTAGGCCAAAGATACATTACATTTGACACTAAACTTTAAATAACATTAAAATTTTTTATAAACCTGTTGCTTGTTTTTAAAAAGAAAAATAATTTTAAAGATCTATTCCTTTAAGTGAGCGATATAGGGCCTTCATGGCCCTCTTGTGTCTTGATTACATTCGTTAGGTTCCAAAGAAAATACGTCATGAATTTATGTGATGTCATGTAGTGATGAACATTTACCCTAAAGGGAATCTTATTTCGACGTTTCATTTGAAGTACATGTAGCAATGATTTATTTTAAAATCGTCTTAACTAGGCAGGGGAAGGGTAATAACGGCCTAACAGCTCGGGTGATATAAAATCTTGACAGGTAATATATCCACATGTATCAACCAAAACCAATATAACATATAATATATAAATTGCTTGTAAAACATTAACCAAAGTGTTATGATAATAGTCAAGCTAAAAAATTATAACTGTGTATTGAGAAATCTTTATAAGTAAAAATCTCAATTTAAAGGGGTGATAACTCCTAAAAATAGGAGCTATAGTTATGAACTTTAGCTAATTATGAACTTTACGGGTGCCCCCACACTCCACTGTTTTGTCAATCTTATGACTCTTGGTCAAATATTTTTTGGGCTACATATTTACAAGTTGAAAACTATAAGAAAAAATTTAAGTAAAGTGCAAGAACTTTACAAATACAGAATAAATCCACAAGAAAACCCCCAAGTGCATAAGTTCACATGCTAACCAACATTCTTGTAAACTTTCAGGCCTACAGGTCAAATACTTTTTGAGCTATGTGCGACACAAGTTGAAAATTGCAAATTTGTATTAAGTCAAGGGCAATAACTCTGAAAAAACATATAAATTCACAAGTGCACAACTTCACATGTTGATCAACATTCTTGTAAAGTTTCAGGAGCCTATTTCAAATACTTTTTGACCTACATGTGACACATGTTGAAAATTGCAAACGTTTACTAAGTCAAGGACAATAAATCTACAAATACTAAATAAATTCACATAAAAATACCCAGGTACACAACTACACATGCTGATCAACATTCCTGTAAAGTTTCATGACTCTAGGTCAAATACACAAAATGAGAACGGATGGAAGGACAGGCTGACATGGGTAAATCTAATTGCCCCCCCCCCCCCCCCCTAAAATGGGGGCACAAAAAATCATTTGTCATGAAAATATGACGTGGTTGATGACCAGAAACTTATATTTGAAGTTTGAAGTAAATATTTTAAGTAATAAAGAACTTATAGTGAAAAAGTGTAAAAACTAGAATCATGTCAAGGGCAATAACTCTGACAAAAGAGAATAAATCCACAAGGGAAACCCCAGGTGCATAACTTAACATTCTGAGTAACATTCCTGTAAGGTTTCATGATTCTAGGTCAAATACTTTTTGAGTTACATGCGACAAAAGTTAAAAATTCTAAATTTTTACTAAGTCAAGGGCAATTACTCTAATAATACTAAATAAATCAACACAAAAATACCCAGGAGCACAAATACACATGATATTAAGTTTCATGACACTAGGTCAAATACTTTTGAGCTACATGCGATACAAAATGAGAACGAACGGACGGGAGGAAGGACAGACAAGGGTAAATCTAAATGCCCCCCTTAAAGTGGGGGCACAAAAATTGATACTTGACATCTGAAGTAAATCCGTAAAGAAATAAAGCTAGTTAGAAGTATTTCATTTCACAAAACTTCAACAATAAATCTGTATGAGGTTGTAGACACAAGGGTGAGAAAGACAGCTCCCAATTATAATACTTTGTATAGTTAAATTAAATGATATATACAATATGTTGATCCAGGTTCTAGGCACATGTTTACAGGGCACTTTGTAGGAATCACAACACCATGAGTCGGTTTATCAGCTCCACTTTGCTTAGCATTCTCAGCCATAGTTTGGTTACAATAGTAGCCGATAGGGCAAATATCACATGTAGGTTTTCCCTCTGCTGCCTGGTAGTAACCATGTGAACATGGTGTAGGAATACTTGCACCTAAATAAAATAATCCCAATTAAAGCTTAATAAACAACATCTAAAAAATACGAAAGCAAATAAATGATTAGACAAGCTTAAGGGTAATTGGTAAAGGTGGTTCAAGATGAGTGATGGTCTAGTGGTTAAGGTGTCGGTCACTCAACTTCGGTCTTAGGCTTTCTGATGAGGACATTGCATAATGACACACATTTTACGGTTTTTCTATGTTCAATAGGGAAAAATGCAGGCCATGTAAATAAAAATGACTTAGTAAGGATGGAGACTTGTTCAGTTCAAATATGCTTCAATCTTTGTTCACAATAAAAAAAGGACATTAATGATGACAATTGTCCGAGGTCACTATTCTCATTGCCTGAAAGAGTGGATGGATCTTCATTAAGCCTAGAATACATACATACATTCTCAATTAAAGTAAAGTTTGCTGATAATCCATCTAGCTGTATTAGGCGATATTGTTTAAAAAAGACGGTGGATTTCGATTGAAGAACAACTGACTGTAGACCCAGTGCCATCATAAAAACACATCTCTGATCAGGTGATCTTATTCAGAGGCAGAATAATGTCATGCAACTCATCTATTAAGAAAGCAATATACCATCATTTAAACTGCCCAATACATTTTCCCAATTGGTCTACATTTTTCCATATCTGTGCAAACACTAAGATAACTGATTTGATATGCAAGGAAAATACATAATTAAGACTGTGCTTGTCATTACTTTTATGATGACAGTCAATTCATACATCATGCTCTTTTGCTGCCTCTTTCAAAAGCAGTTTTATTTAATTGAGTGACAACTTTAACTCACCTTCTTTGCAGAAATGTCCTTTCCAACATTTACCAGTTACAGACTGTAGCCCGTTAGTTTCGCAATAATACCCTGCCGTACAGGGGTCACATTGAGCCGAGCCACTTTGTGCTTCAAATGTTCCCACTGAGCACGTTGCAAGTACTCCTGAAATATATGGTAATATGAATCTTGGCCGGTGCAGACCTAATGATATATGTTAATAAATAAGTGATTTGATATTGGCCCTGTTATTTGTCCGAGGGCAGTCGTATTGGCCCAAGGCCAAAGGCTGAGGGCCAATACTACTGTCACTGACCCGAGGACAAATAACAGGGCCAATATCAAATCATTTATTAATTGACAATTTTATTAAGTAACTACATGTACTTATAATATTTCACATTTAATCCTCAGATATTTCTTCTTATTTTAAATCTGTAACACAGGGTTGTCATTAAGAGGCGGCAGGAGGCCAAAATGCCTGTCTCAAATGCATTAATGGCCGCCTCAAAATTCAGAAAACACTCTTTGTTATGCATGATAAAGACAGAAATGACCGCCTCAAGTTCAAAACAAACCTTCTGCAAAAAATGTTAATGACAACCCTGGTAACATATTTAAATTATAACAAAGAACAACTTTAAAAATAACTACATTAAAATTTTTTATCAGTTTGTATGGAAAACCTACATTTTGTAACTTATTTTGTACATGTACAACAAAATGTCAGACTGTGAATGTTTAGAAACTGAGAATATTTTGTTTCATTCATGCAACCTGTCGGCGTCTACACATAGACCAAGTTAAAACAAAATGGCTGTCAGTTCCCAGTTTCTTGCAGATATCTATATCATTTTTTGGCCCTGCTTTATTAGCCAATCAAATTACTTCAAATGCGGGCTTTATTTCTATAACACTTTTCGGCCCGGGGCCAAAAAATGATATAGATATTGGCCCTGTTTTAAGGCAGGCCATCGTGTTATTGAACGTGGCAGGTGCTTTTTTATAGGACTTATAGTTATTTACTAATATCTGTTATGTGTTGCCATTCAGATCAAATATCCATCCCTAACCGCAAACATACATGTATGTCAGATATTTTTTCTTGCACAATCTACCATATTCCATCATAATTAAAACTCTTTACCTTAATAAGTGAGCAAATTGTTGTGAGCATATTGTTGTGAGGCCATTTATGTTAGGAAATTGTTGTGAGGACATTAACAGTGTAAGAAATTCGGATTTGAATCCACTAGACATTTCACTAGCACGATTCATTTGTTCAGAACAGTTGTTTGTATTGCCTCTGAAAATACAGTAGTCTGATCGGGCTTGTTACTGTAAAAAGTTGGTAGCCCGAGGAGAAATTTAGTAGTCAGGGGCTATCGGACTACTGCTGAATTCGAACACTGCATTAATGTGAGGACAATGATGTGTGGACTTTGATGTGAGTTCATTAATGTGATGATATTTATTTGACGATATTGAAGAGGAGACATTGCCATGAGGACATTGATCTGGGGATATTTATGTGAGTTCATTGATATGAGGATGCCGATGTGACATTTATACAAGGATTTTGATGTGACATTTATATGAGGATTTTGATGTGACATTGATATGAGGATGCTGATGTGACATTTATATGAGGATGCTGATGTGACATTTATATGAGGATTTTGATGTGACATTGATATGAGGATTTTGATGTGACATTGATATGAGGATTTTGATGTGACATTGATATGAGGATGCTGATGTGACATTTATATGAGGATGCTGATGTGACATTGATATGAGGATTTTGATGTGACATTTATATGAGGATTTTGATGTGACATTGTTATGAGGATATTAATGTAGGGACAAGTGACTTCATCAATTTGTGAGGACATTGTTGTAAGCTCATTGATGTGAGGACATTGGCATGAGGACATTGATGTGAATTAATTGATGTGAGGACCTTGAGGACATTGGCGTGAGTTCATTGTTGTTAATATTTGGTGTATGAAAATAGAATGAGGACAGCAATATGGGTACATCAGTCCCAGTGAAACTTGAAATGATCATACAGGACAATAGGTCCTGTGAAACCTGGTATTTTACAGGACCTTGGTGACAATTACAGGACCTAAAAATTTTGTATAATTTTCCCCATTTATAGTAATTATTAGGGATAAGTTTTTGGGGGCAAGTGCATACAAATTGCATTTTTTGAAGTGTTGATATTCCATTTTAAATAAGATTGACCAAACATTAGGTTGACTAAAACAATGCATGCTCGTAAAAGTTTATTAAATATTATTTTGTAACAATAAACAGCAAAATTACAAATGTTGTAAAATCATTAATGAACTGAATGCTTGCAGGCAGTCTTATGTTTTTTCTTCTCTATCATCATTATCATAGGTTTCATATAGCTTGTTTTGATTTAGTCACTGCAGCCAGGTGACTGTGCTGAAATAAAAAAAAGTAAAAACACTTTTTAGTAAATCATATAATTCATCAATTTCAATATTTCCCCAAAAAAAGTATTTCTTGACAGTTCAGAGTCGTAGTTAATATGAACTTAATAAGGTTCATATGGATGTTGTTTTTTTCCACTGAATTATAAATAATATTGTCCTCTAATAAATACTTTAAGTTACATTTAATATTCGAGCATCACGATCATCATCACAAATAAATTTTAAACTTCTTTTAAATTATTTACAACTGTTCTTACAGAAATTCTTATAAAGAATAATCATCGGATATTCACCACTACGAGTGTTTACAGAAGTTTATTTACCAATCATTTTCATTCGCCATTGAAAGCATTGACAAAAAAAAATTGTAAAAAATCAAAATGTTTGACTGAAGTTTTTGGCGACAAGTTTTTGTAAAGCAATCATACATGTATATCAACATGATTACTAGACTTACGACAAATTTATGCACTAAGCAAATTTATGCGCTATGTATGTCCCTTATTGGTCTTAATTGACATCTGTTAATATTGTTGTTTGTTGATACATGTACATGTATTTGATCGGCAATTATCAACACTCCGGAGATGTCACCTGTTGACTTCCAACATCCGCTCAGTTGTATCGCCGCGTTTCATTGGTTTTCCAATTATACCGACCAATGAAAATTGGTTTAACAGACCGTTACGATATAGGCGGAGCGTGGAAGATTTTGACATTTGGAAATGACATGCTAATAAGGGCGACATTGTTTTTGCTTTCTAAGCAAACTGGAGACAGTGCGCCTAGAAACGTGAAAAGAGTTTCTTTTTTATAGTTCTACTGCTAAAAAAAATTACTGGACAGTAGGTCCGGAGAACTTTCTAAATTTGTCGGACCTTTCAAAAAATTACCGGACATGACCGACGGTCCGACGATGTTTCGCTTGGACTGGTACATTGATGTGAGTTCATTGATGTGAGTATATCTATATATCATATATATATTCATGTGTTTACATATATGTGACTATATTGATGTGTCTTTAATTTATATATTTTCATTCAGGAGTTCACATACTTATGGTATGAAAAACATATTTCACTTGTGGCTACCGTCACTCATGAAATATTTTTCAAACCACAATAAAAATAAATTCTGGCTGTATTTAAAGAAAAACTTCACTACCCTGTATATTCTTGATGTAAATAAATTAGAAGTCAAAATAGATTAATATTGTGTCAATTCACTATAAATCTTGAGGACTTTTCCAAATTTTCAGTGGAACAGATACAAACTGGTTGCCTTAAACGAATGCCATGAAAAAAAGTTAATTCTTTTAACTTACTAAATCTTATATCAGATTAAACATTATTACTTAAACTGCTTGTACAAAAACATCTTGAGACATCAAATGAGCCACGTCACAACAAAACCAACATAATGCATTTGCGACCAGCATGGATCCAGACCAGCCGCGCATCCACGCAGTCTGATCAGGATCCATGCTGTTCGCCATCAGTTTCTCCACTTGGTAAGCGAACAGCATGGATCCTGATTAGACTGCGTGGATGCGCAGGCTTGTCTGGATCCATGCTGGTCACAAAGGCACTATGTTGCTTTTGTCGTGACGCGGCTCATATCATTCTTACCTGTCAACTGTAAAATGAGACAAAAAATAATCTTCAAAGAGCTGTAAACTCTTTCACCTGAAAAAATTACAAGAATATAAATGTCCTTATTTCAAGTAGATCCCTATTTTTAGGGTCCATAGTCTCAGTGCCTGAAAGGGCAGACTGACCCTCATAAAGCCTAGAATACATACATAGACCACTTTTTTCCAACAAAAATTTTACATTCTTCAGAATCTTAATGATTTTTAGTCTGAAAACATGTAGAAATATCAGATTTTACTCCCCCCAGCATAGTTTTGTAAATAAACTGTGTTACTGTAAACAATAACATCAAATCACTCCCTTTTAAGTTATTTTTAACAATAAACCAATCTGTTTTCATTAATTTTTATGTGATTTCCTTGGTTGAAATTTTAACATTTTCAAAATTGTTTCTGTCTGAATCAACTGCCTATTTTGAAATATTTGCTTAATATAACAAGATTTTATAGTTAATGTTACAATGACCAGTACTGTACTTTACTAAAAACAAACAAATAAACAAATTTTTCAAAAGAAAAATAAGTTGAGCTCTTCTTACTTTTTTTTATTTTAATAAGACTCAGTGTTGTCACACTTGTTGTTTTGAAGTATGAATCATTTCCATGAATAAATGACAAAGTTAAGAAAATATAAGCAAAAACAATCATCTGACCTTGAGAGTCAAGGATATTTAAAGGTCAAGGTCATATCTAAATTATTCAACATGATGATGTCCGTATGTTCACAAGTCTTGTTTTTGTCCACATTTGAATCAAATCTACATAAATAACAAAATGATGAAAACTTAGCCAAAATTCAATAAGTTTACCATGACAATCAAGATCATTTAAAACTTCAGGTCAAGGTCAGTTCAACTTTTTAGAAGGTCTTGTTCAAAAGATTGTTTTGTCCAATTATATATAACAATATTAATCTATTTATTAATTAGCAAGTTTCAGTCAATTATATAGCAAAAATCAATGAAAATTCAATAATTTTACAATCAAGGTCAGCGTCTTTTACTAGTTTTGTGGAAGGAAAACCCCTGCCCTGTTTGGGGGGGGGGGGGGGGGGGGGGGTAGAAAATGTCTAATTTACTTTAAGGTCCATCCTAAAAGATTGTTGTGTTCAAGTTTGAAGAAAATCCAAATTATAGACACTAATTATAATAGCAAAAATCAAGCAGAATTTAGACATTTGATCTGGAAGGTCAAAGTCATTTATGAATGAAGGTCAAGTTTTGTAAAGTCTCCTTAAAGTCTTGTTCGTAAAGTATGAACACAATACACCAAAACTTAAAAAGTTATGATAAAGTTTACGGCAATAGGCCTGGGAAGGCCGCCATGACTGTAAGTCTATACAATACCTTAATTTAACTTTTTGAAAAAAAATGACAAGAGGGCAAATATGAGCCTAAATTCACTCACCTTACTTTGAATTAATGGTCTAAACAACAACAATTAATTCTATGAATAAAACAGCAGATACAAGGTACATTTATTAAATCAAAATCATGGTCAACTGATATCAAAGTTCAAATCTGCATCTAAAATTGTGTACATGGTTGCTGTGGAAATTAATGGTTGATTTGAAAGTCACTGGTTGCTATATAAAGTCTATGTTTGCTATGGTAGTCACATGGTTACTATGAAAAATCACTGATGGTTGATAAGAAAGTCACTGGTAGCTATGGAAAGTCAATATTTGCTATGGTTGCTATGGAAAGTAATTGGATCCTACAGAAAATACTGATTGCTATGAAAGTTGGTGCTTTGGATTTCACTGGTTACTAATTTTAATGGTTGTAAAGTAAAAAAAGAGGCCTAATATTAAATAAGGTATTCAAAACATGGTCTTTTACTACTATCACCTTATGTACAGTAGATATCTTAATTAAGTCACCACTTTCGTTCAAACAGCTGAAAATCAGTCTCAATAATTCATTTTTGCATTTTATGTTTTAGATCTATCTTTTTATTTCTTGTTTTATAGATCTAATGATCTACTGTAGATCTAATAATACAAGAGCTGGTTGAACAGATGATGCTCCTCGAAAAGATGAAAGACACAGAAAAGTATACTACTTGTAGTTTGGAAAAAATCAAAGTGAAAAAATGAACAAAGGACAATAACTCTAAAATTAGGCAGACTTACGTTTCTTGTGCACAGTACTTGTACCTAATGAGATCTATCTACCTACAAAGTTTCCTGTTGACATGATCTTTTACAGTTTCAGAGTTATGTCCTGTCAAAGTGTAAAAATGAACGAAGGGCAATAACTCCAAAATTAGGCAAGGCAGTGTTACGGTTCTTGTGCACTGCAATTCTACCTAAAAAGATCTATTTACCTACAAAGTTTCATGTTGATATCGCTTATTGTTTCAGAGTTATGTCATGGACAAAGTACAAAGTGTAAAAATGAACAAAGGGCAATAACTCCAGAATTAGACAAGGCAGAGTTACAGTTCATGTGCACAGCATTTCTATCCAATGAGATATATCTACCTACAAAGTTTCATGTTGATATCTCTTATAGTTTCAGAGTTATGTCCCGGACAAAGTTCAAAGTATAAAAATGAACAAAGGGAAATAACTCCAAAATTAGGCAAGGCAGAGTTACAGTTCTTGTGCACTGCACCTCTATGTTTTATGTAGATAACTCTTGTTGTTTCAGAGTTATGTCATGGACAAGAAAAGTGGACAGACAGAGTCACAGATGGACAAAGCAGTGACTATATGCTTACCCTTTGGAGAGCATAAAAAAAATAATATTCAAATTTTGTAGATAACTCAATTTACCAGACATTGTGTTTCAAAATTTTTTGAAGTCTTAAATTGAAATTAAGCAAGGAAACTACGACTATTGAATGGCAATGTTAAGATACTGGAAAAACCCAGTATGCCACTTAAATAGACACAGCAGCCATGCTTGTTCCGAAGAGGTCAATATAGGGGTGTAATTGAAATTAACACTATTAACTCAATTAACGTATTGATTCTTCATGATCCTTAAACGTATGACACATTTTGATATTCAAATGGAATTCTGTTCTTTCTCTCAAAAAGTTTCCAGTTGATCATCATGTAGCATGTTGCAAAAGCCATAAAGTCTATTTTTTGTACATTTCATGTAGAGATTCCTCCAATGGGCGTAACCCGTTTCCTTATAGTATTTGTTTTTTAATTTGCATTTCTTTGTAAAAGACAACAACAAACAAGATTGAACAAGATTTAAAATTACTTTTAATCATTAAAATATGTTACGATTGTCTCCTGAGGTAACGTTGAGAAGAATTAAAAGTAAAACCTATCTAAAATAACCTAAAGGGCCTAAATATTCGGGACTGCACAGAACAGATTATTCCCCCGCATGACCAGGTCATGGAATAACTAGTAAACAAAAGGGTATGTTAGTAAATAAAGAGCTGAATCAACAATATTTGCCTGAGAGTGATTTTGTTGTTATTTACTTCGAAGTAGAAAGTGTGACTGTGTACGATTCAGTCAAATGTTTTTTTAATCGAAGCAAAAAAATAAGTCTTATTTGACAGGAATAGATTTTGTCTAGTAAACTGATTGTCCGGTTAACATGTAGGATCTGTGGCCTTAAGTTTAGAGACGCTTTGGGGTCAGACCCTGCCCCCAACGTGATACGCCCCAGTAAACACTCTATCAAAACTATTTTAATATTTAAACACAAATGGGACATCTATTACAACGATAAAAATGGTTTTCAAACAATTTTTACATACATGAAAAAAATTACCGTATACCATCAAGTCTCAATAAAGTAAAGATTGCAGACTCCAAAATGTAAACACGATTGTAAAATAAAACCTTTTTATCACACACCCGTGCCGATTTTGCAACTCCGTACATATGGTATTGCACGGCCGTGCATATATTTTGACGTGACGTCATTAGCGTTATACAAACACAGGGCCCTCGATCAACCAAATCTGCGGCCGATATTCGGCCGCAGTCCCCCACCAAAATAGTATGTTTTTTTCCCCCTAACAGAGGTAAAAATTCCCCCTCAAAACATATAAAGTGTTAAAGAGAAAAATGAAAACTATTGTTGTTTTTGAAAATTAAAAATCAATCTATTTGACGTCTTTTTTGTAAGCGGAATATCGTACAGTACATGTCTGCACGTTTCCGTTTGTTTTTTCCCTCAAAATCTACCGTCACATACTGGCCTTTCATCCTGTAAAATGCTAAAATTTCAACAGAAATATGCAGAAAAAAAATCACAATTCCCGTCAACAATATGATTTCAAATTGTTTATTCATGAAATCATTTTTTTGTCTTCAAAATGTTACATCAACCACGGTAAATTTTGCCGTAAATTACAAACTTGTAAGTTTTGTTTTCATGATTCTTTATTAAATAACTGATGAAAAACGATCTTATAATAAACAATCAATTTAATTTTATATAATTTACATCGGAAACAACTAGAATTGTGGATGTGTAAACAGAAAACAAACAAATTTTCATTTGTCACATATTTTCGCGATGCCGATTTTTACGAATGTTTTACAAAGTCAAGAAAAGGAAGCTTTGTCTTTGTAAAAGGTGTGTTAGAACACTAAAAATGTAGTTTATGAATAGAATTTACTTTAGGTCCATGTATTGTTCATATTAGTGGAAATTGTGCATTTGTCTGAATGTGTTTCACAATGCTTATTTTTATTTTATTTTTTTTTTTTTTTATTTGGGGGGGGGGGGGGTGAATCATAAAGAAAGCTAAGCAGCATAAAGATCTGATGGTGTAAGGTGTTAAAAAAACTTTTCTTCAAATCTTATCAATCACTTCTGAACAGTTTAGTGTAACCTATATGGGATTTTTAAAAAAATAATATGCGTGTAAATAAAAAAACAGCTGATATTTAAATAAGTTTATTTGTTATTTGATCATGAAAAAAAGAAGAAAATTCCCCCCATACACTAAAATTCCCCCTGCTGAGGGTAGCGACCCGCTTCCCCCAAATTGGATTGAGGGCCCTGAAACACAGTATAAAGACGCGCTAAATGTTAGCGTTATACTATAGG